AAAAAGGACCCAAAAAAAAAAAAAAAAAAAAGCAGGTCTGACTGCCCTGCTCCTCTGCCAGAGTCCAGGTCACATCCACAGCCTGATGGTGGGTCTTGTGGCTGGCTACAGCCTCGCCCCTCTCAACCCCCAGCACGGTGCTTTCTCCCCAGACTGTTCCCATAGCAGGCGACACTGCCTCAGCCCCCGTGCTTGGCTCACACTGCTTGGAGTACCCCAGTCCCTGGTGGAATTGTTCCCTCTGCATTCCCGTCATCCCCTGCATTGCCCTTGGCCTACATGTGGAGACCTGAGAAGAGGCCCTTGCCCTTGCCGGTCAGTTCAGGCTGTCTCCCAGATGGTTGGCCAGCCCCCAGCACAGGCCTCAGTCTACCCCCTGTGTCCTCTGAGATGACTGAGTGACTGTAATGACACGCATGGCCCTCCTTTCCTTCGGATCCCAAGCCTCGACTGCATCCTGGCCTGTCCGTGGGCAGCTGATCACAGGTGCCCTTGGTGCTGGTCTTGGCTGTACTACACGCTTCCCAGCCACCAGGAGTCTTGCGTTAGGTTCTTTTTCTACAGTAAGATTCATGATCTTGAGGGTAACAGTGGCCAGCCCTTTACTTGTGCCCCAGGTGAGATTCTGGTGGCCTAGTGTTACATGTCCACTGGTGGCCGCTGAGGGCTCCCTGGCTCTGTGCGTGCTGGAAGTGCCCTGAGGGTCAGTCTGGTAGAAAGCAGAGGCCTAGGTCTCTGGCTGGGGAGGCCTGCATTCTGGCCACCACAGGGCTGTGTGGCTGTGGGTGCATCGCCTGCCTCTCTCACCCCACCCCCACTCCTGATGTGCAGAAAGCAGGGGACCAATGTCTCCTTTGCAGTGTCATTGTGAAAATTAGAAAAACTGGGTCTGGCACAAAAAGGCCCCCACCAGTTGGGAAGCAGGCCCCACTGAAGCCTGAGCTCCAGTACCCAGAGGTATCCACCCCACTCGCTGACTTTTCTTTCCCATCAGGCCCAACGGTGCCCTGGAGTCCTGCTCCTTTGCCCGCCACAATCTGCTGCAAACGCTGTACAAGGTCTAGACTCAAAGCCAGCCTCTCCCCATCCCTCACCTGGACCTGTGGCTTGGGAGGCACTCGGATGAACTGAGCTGCAGCTGTGCCCTCCGCTTGGACAGGACTCACCAGAGGCAGGGAGGGGCCTTTGTCTCGTGTCGCGTCAGTCCCCCGAGTACGTGTGTTGTGGTGCTTGTGCAGGTGTGCTTCCTGTCGGGATTTGGGTTTTTAATGTCTCCCTGCTGGACTGGCCCTGATCTGGTGTGGGGAGCTGGTCCCCAGGGTAAAGGGCTGCAAGCTGCTCTGCCATTAAATTCACCGCCATCTGAGGGGGCTCTGATGATATGTGTCTCAGGCTCCAGGCCCTGGTGGCTGTCCCTACCGCCTTTGCATTCCTGCCCCCCCCCCTTGGGTGGTACCAGAGTCTGGGGAGCTGCTGTCCATGTGCCATCCCTTCCCTCTGTGTGCAGTTGGGCTGTCTCCTGCCCTGCCTGGGGCTGCTCACTTGGCAGCTGCTTCTGCTTCCTGTCACCAAGCACTGGTCCTGCAGTGACTGTCATCCATGTCTGTGGGTGGGGCTGTGGGGTTGTCAGCAGAGGGCAAGCAAGCCCCTGGTTGGGACCCATGCCATGTGGACAGGAGAAGAAGCCAGTGAGAAGGTACCAGATTGTCCAGAAGCAGGAGTTGCCTGTGTCTGTGCCGGCTCTCCCCTGGCTGCTGAGGAGATTGCCTGTGACCTTGGGGCCAGGCTGGAGGGGCACCTTGGCAGGCCCAATCTCCTGCCTGGGGAGGGAGGGGGAGGGCCCCCGATGCCAGATGTCCATCTTGGGGCTGCTCTTAAAGGACCTCCTCGGGCAGGGCAGGGGAGGGGTGGGGACTGGACTGGGCAGGTAGGTGCCCTGTGACCTCTCTTAACAGTCTCATGCTTTCCCCTTTGTGCTGTATGTGTGTCTGGGCTGTGCCCAGAGCTTCACAAATAAAGTTGTGTTGCAGCAGCAGAGACTGAGAAACATCTTTTGCCTGAAGTGTGACATTCTAGGAGCCATGGTACATGGAATCCTTCCTCAGCATGGCACACAGGCCACAGTCTATGAGGGCAATAAGCCTGCAGAAGAGCCCGGCGCCAACCTTAAGTTGTCCTCTGGACAAGCCTCTCCCACTTGGGGCCCAGATGCTTCCTCTGCTGTGGGCGTGACAGCTGGGTGGGTGGTGCGGATGGGCAGTGACTCCTGGGGGTGGGGGTAAGGGAGGCATCCCTTTCTCTGGGCAGTGGAGGTCCTGAGTTAAGGCCTGATTCACCTGCCTGGCCACACCCCCACGACCCCACCTTAGGGCTGCTGCTCCTCTGGGTCCTGCGTTGCTCCTTCATTTATGGACATAGTTGGGCAAAACTCTGTCCATATCTCATCACAGGCCCTGCTGGCTGCACAGTCAGGAGCCCCTAGGCTGGCTAGCAAACTCACTTCATAAAGTTGGGCCTGGCTGGGAAATCACCATGGGATGTCTGGCTACAAGACCTACGGTGGAGGCTACCTCCCTTGGGTTTCTTATGGGGCAGCATTCCCTTATTGGGTATGGACCACGTAGGTGACATTTTTCTTGGCCAGGTGGCAGAGGAAGTACCAGGCCTGGTTCCCTTCCCCTCCATGTGAAGTGATAGAAGGTGGGTGCAGGTTTGTCCAACTCCAATCTGCCACCCTTGCCAGACCCTCTTCTGAGCTCCAGGGCCACAGGCACTGCCTTTGGGGAGCTCCCAGTATGGTTGGGGACCACTGATTGTGGTCCAGTGCAGGGATGGTGGGCAGTGAGGTGAGGAAAACCTTTGAGTTAGGGATATAAGAACTGAGTCTCGAGGTTCCCATAGGACTTTTCCAGGGCAGTATTTGATGGGTGGGGACACTGGGCTGAGGAGGGGCCTGTCCAAGATTCTCTGGCCTGGCTGTTCCCACCAGGCTGCATGGGGCTGGCCTTTGTTCCTGCCTGTGTAATGCATGTACAAACTTCAGCCCAGACTGAGAAGAGAACCAAAGGTCTCATTTAACCTCACCCACAGGCCATCAGTGCTCCCTGAACCCTCACAAGGAGGAGAATCCTGCTGGTCCCAGAAGTGGAGGCTTATGACTGGCCTGGCCCCACCTCAGTCCTTTGGGCTAGATCAAGAGGTCATGGTTCCTACCCAACTCCAGGTGGAGGGAAGGGCCTGGGCCTTTAACTTTGCTGCTTGCTGAGGAGCCATAGCCTTTGGAATTTTCCCCAGACTCAAATGCTTACACAATTCCCTAAGGCTCCAAATACTCCTTGTGAACTACAACCAACCCTAAGATTACACATGCTCCAGGTTCCTCAGGACCATGGTTCTGGGTCCTACATATGAAAGGCTCCACCAAAGGGACTTCAACCCACAGACTCAGGAGGCTACAGCAGCAATCCCATTCTTAAACTTAGACTAGAAAACCCCCAGGAAGTAAGGTCAAGGGTGCTCCTAGCAGCACTGTTTGTGATAGCAAGAACCTGGAAAACACTCACATCAGGCCAACATCAGGAAACTGGAGAATAAAATGTAAAGCCACACAACGAAGTGTACAACAGTAAAAAGGCATTGACTGCAACTCCATGCATAACATGATGAATCAGTCATGTTGAGTGAAGGAAATTTAACTACTACTGTAGTGGTTCAAAAACAAACTAGGGCTGGCTATTTAGCTCAGCTGGTTAAGAGTGCGGTGCTGATAACACCAAGGTCCAGGGTTTGATCCCCGTACCGGCCAGTGCCAATAAAAAGCAAACTAAACAACATGTTTTAAGCCTACATATGTATTTGATAATGCTATTATCACTTAAAAGAGCACATGTATCCAACAGCACATTAAAAGGATCATACATACGCCACAAACAAGTAGAAATTATCCATGGGATACAAGGATGGTTCAACATATGAAAATAAATGTAATAAACCACATGAACAAGAACAGAGGATTTAAAAAATCACGATTGGGCTGGCCAGTTAGCTCGGTTGGTTGGGTGTGGTGCTGGTAACACCAAGGTCCAGGGTTTCATCCCTGTACCAGCAGCTGCCAAAAACAAACAAACAAACAAACAAAAAACCCAAAACTTAGAACTAATAATCATAGAATTACCACTTGTTCTAGCAATTCCACTTCTAGGCATATACCCCAAAGAACTGAAAGCAGAGACTCAAATAGATACTTGTGTGCACTAATGTTCACAGCAGCATTATTCACAGCAGAACAATAGCCAAAAGGTGGGAACAACCCCAGTGTACACCCACAGATGAGTGGATTAAACAACATAGTACCCACACACACAATGGAATATTTACTCAGCCATAAAGAGAAATGAAATTCTTTTTATGAGATATGGTTCAACATGGATGAGCCTTGAAAACATTATAAGTGAAATAATCCAGACACAAAAGGACAAATGCTATATAATGACATGTAGAAGAGGTATCTAGAATAGGCAAATTCATACAGATGAAACCGAGGTTACTAGGGGCTGGGGGAAGGTAGAATGCGGAATAACTAATCAGTACAGAGTTTCTGGGATGATGAAAAATTGCTGGAAATGGGTAGTGGTCATGGTTGCACAGCATTGTGAATGTACCTAATGTCACTGAATTGCACACTTAAAATGGTTAAAATAGTAAGTTTTATGTTGAATGTATTTTACCGCAATTAAAAGTCATAAATGTAAAGGACAAAATTAGGGCCAGCCCGGTGGCGCACTACTATAGTGCGCCGCTTGGGAAGCGCGGCGGCGCTCCCGCCGAGGGTTCGGATCCCACATACAGACCGGTTCCCGCTCACTGGCTGAGCGAGGCGCGGGGGCAACGCCGAGGGTTGCGCTCCCGCTGACGGTCCTGGTCCGGTACGGGGGCGACACTGAGGGTTGCGATCCGTTGCCAGACACGGAAAAAGACAAAAAGGAAAAAAAATAAATAAACAAAATTATAGAACTTTTAGGCCTTGGGAGTAGTAAGGAAAAGATGACTATGTTAACCTCCTCTGTTTACCATTATTGTGGTATATTCATACAGTGGATAACATGCAGCAATGAGAACAAGCTTCCGTTTATCAAAATACTTCATTATAAAAAAGAAAAAAGCAGACCAACTCTATGTCGGTTCCACTGTATTTCAATTCCCTACCTTATTGCCTGCCTCTGGCACAGTTCTCCCTCCTCTGCCCCATGTCACTGTTGTGGTACATTTATAGACTGGGACACTGGCATGCATGCTATATAAAAATGAAAATGAGCAAATTAAAATATAGGGATGGCCGGTTGGCTCACTTGGGAGAGTGTGGTGCTGACAACACCAAGCCAAGGGTTAAGGTCCCCTCACCAGTCATCTTTGAAAAAAACCCCAAAAAACAAAAAAACCCCCACATCATTAAGGGAATAAAAAGGCAAGTCACAGATAGGGAGAAAATAACTGATATGTGTGTGTGTGTGTGTGTGTGTGTACTATCCAGGATATACAGAGATTCTACAAATTAATAAAAAAACTCAACAACTCAATAGAAAAATAAGCAAAAATAGACTAGCTGTTTTGCTCACTTGGGAGAGCACGGTGCTGATAACACCAAGGTCAAGGGTTTGGATCCCCCATACCAGCCAGCCACCAAAAAATACAAAATAAAACACAGGAAAAATAAGCAAAAGGCTCATATGGGCACTCCACAAAAAAAGCATGTTAAAAAGTGCTTAATTTCATTAGTTTTCAGAGAACCACACATGAAAAGCACCATGTGATACCATTATGCCCTCGCTGGAATGGCTAAAATACAAAAGACAAATAATACCAAGCGTTGGTGAAGATGCGGAGCAACTGGAACCGTCATATGCTGCTGGCGAGTGTGTACATTGGCACACCCATGTTAAGAAACTGTTTGGCAGTATCCATTGAACTGAAAATAAGCATACCCTCAGCCTAGCAAGTGCACTCCTAGGTATGTCACAGCAGAAATGGCTACATATGTTCATCGAAAGACATGTACAAACACAGTAAGCAGCACTTTTCATGATAGCCCCACACTGGAAACAACCCAAATGTCCATCAACAGTGGAACTATTGTGAATGTACCTAAGGTAAATTGTGGCACAGTGAGGAACCAAGATGGTGGGAGTGGACGACGTCTGCCCAAGCAGGAAGGAACATTTTAGCATTGACATTAGACTTGCCAGCTCAAGATGGTTAAAAAAGAAAAAAGCAGACCAACTCTATGTCGGTTCCACTGTATTTCAATTCCCTACCTTATTGCCTGCCTCTGGCACAGACCGTTCTCCCTCCTCTGCCCCATGTCACTGTTGTGGTACATTTATAGACTGGGGCACTGGCATGCATGCTATATAAAAATGAAAATGAGCAAATTAAAACTGAATCAAAACATGGATGAATGTCACATACTATTGAGTGAAAAGAGCCACACTCACAAGAGCACGCATTGCAGTTCCATTGACAGAGAATTTGCTGACTGAGAGAAAGCATGTGCAGACGTTTTTGTTTTTTTTTTAACCAGAAATAGTGTGGGTAAAAAAAAAAAGCTAAACAAAATGAATAATAAAAGATGCAATTCCATCAGAAATGCGGATGTGAGAGATTGTAGGATACACATGTTTGCTATAATTTGGATGTACTATTTCATTTTTTAATGCCTGAGAAGACATGTATTTGGATATTCCTTGCAATATTGTTTGTAATAGTAAAAAACTGGATGCAACTGAAATGTCCAAGATTTATGGCTAAGTAAATGTGGTACATTTATATAATGGAATACTATACAATGGTCAAAATGGAAAGGAATCAACTTGGGTAACTCCTAATCTGATGTTGAGTGAGAAAAATTTGCAGAATACTATATATACAGCATTAAACAATGTTTGTGAATGTATAAAGCACAAGCAAAAAGGAAAGGGCTAAGTGTGCTTGAGCACCTACTGTGTGCCAGCTGCCTACCTTAAACACTCTACTATGAGCTCGTTTCTAATATGTGTTTTTCAGAGACGAGGAAACTGAGGCTCAGTGAGGGGCATCCCTGCCCACAGTCCCACGGAGCCGGGAGGGAGCCCAGGGCTGCTGACCCGCAGGTGGGCTCCTCGTGGCCCCTCCCTGCCGGCCACCAAGGACTCTGGCCTGGGCCACGTTCCCTGTAACTCCAGCCACTGCTCCTACTCCCCACCCCTCCTTCACCTCAGCCTGGGGAAGCCCAGCTCTGCCGGGCTGCGGACAATGCCTCCCTTTCAGCCCTGTCCTGGCTGCCAGGCCTGCGGGCCAAGGAGGGGGGCTCCCACCAGCGTCCAGGCAGGGACTGTCACGTCGCCGGCCTTTCCCTTGTACTGTGCCTCCAGGCTGGACTGGCGGTTTGAGGCGGCATGGAGGGGTGAGTCTTTGGGCCTTGAAGATGCGAGGGGGGCTTAGAGCAGCTGAGTGGCCCCAGACAAGGCCCTGCTACTCTCTGGGCCTCTCAGAGACTGGCAGATGAGGGCTCTGGGAACCTCCTGGGCCTCACAGAGACTGGCAGACGGGGGCTCTGGGGACTTCTGGGCCTCAGATTCTCCAAGGGTCTCCATAGGGTGTATGGGAACATGGCCGCTCCCATTGATTAGTCCTCTAAGGGCTTGTCTGAGAGCTCAGCAGCAGCCCTCTGAGCCCTGGATGCTTCAGAGATCTGTCCTCATGGGTCCCCTCCCTGGCCTACCCTGAGCCACAACCTTCACCAAGAGCTCCAAAGCAGGGGCTGGATGCTGGGATCCAAAGGAGACCCGAAAACAGACAGTGACAACCCAGTGAGCAGGAAGGGGGCCGGCCCAGGGGTCAAGAAAGGCTGCTCAGAGGCTGCGTGTGACACCAGCTGAGAACGGGGTGAGTTAGGTGACGTAGGCAGCAAGGAGGGAGCTCTGGGCCTGTCTGGTGAATCAAAGCTGTTCCAGGTGTGCTCACAGCAGGGGAGCCGAGGGTGACACTGAAGAATCTGAGCAGATTCTGGCTGAGAAATCAGGAGTCAGGACTTTCCACCAAAGGCAGAGGGGAGGTGCTGGCGAATTTACAGTCGGGGGTGTCACGGTCCCATCTGTGATTTGGAAAGTTCTTTCCGGTGCTGGCTGGTGAATGGAGCATAGGGGAGGCCAGGAGAGCCACAGTGGCAGCAGCTGTCCCTAAGAAGAGGTGGGCAGTGGCTGTTATTGTGAGGTGAAAGGGTCTGACTGAGGGATGGATAGGTGGAAGCATGGATGAATGGCTGAATGGAAGGATGGATGAATGGGTGAATGGATGGGTGGATGGAAGGAAGGATGTATGGGCGGGTGTGTGGATGGACAGATGGATGAATGAGTGGATGGGTGGATAGGCGGATGGATGGGTGATGGACAGGTGGACAAGTGAGTGATACACCTTGCCCAAAGCACAGCCCAAAACCCATACCCTCACATCCCTCCATCCCAGTCCAGGCCAGCTGGGTTGTACTAAGGTGAAGGGCGGACATAAGGGAAATAAATACAGAAGAAAGAAGCAGCCCGAGCCACCTGCTCACCATGCCAGTGTGGCTCTGACCAGCCATTAAGGCTCACTCAGGGACCTCAGACCCCCAACACCTGAATCTGCCAGTCTTGCTCATAATTCGGTCCAGGCCTGGGTCTTTCCCTCCCACTGCCAGGCTGTCCTCTCAAGGTGGGTGCCACTGTGCTCCCTGTCACCAGAGAGATGGCACTGTATCTGTCAGAGAACAGGCTGCTCCTCCTCCTCTCCCTGGACCAGAGCCTCACCACAGCCTGGTACATGCTCTGAACTCCAGAGTCATTGTCAAATTCAGCAAGTCCTCACTGAGCCACTAGACAGACAATCAAAGAGAATCATCGGGTCACCTTTCTGCGCCTTGGTTTCCTACAGTGTAAAGCAGGACTAACAGTAGTTCCCTCACTGCACAGGGGTGGGCGTTTGGGGCGAGGGCAATAGCACTTTCCTGGGCCCAAAGGAGGAAGGCTCCGAGGAGCTCTGGGGGCAGGAGCTACACTGGCTGGGGCCCGGTGAGGGACAGTGTAAGGCCCCTGCGCCTGTGGACAGCCAACTATCCCTCCCTCTACCAGGCCCCAGAGTTCCACCCCTGCCTCTTTGGGGCTGCTGCTGCTTCTGCTGCTGCCACTGGGCCCAGCTTGGTATGTGGCTGCCCAACGCTGCCCACAGACCTGCATCTGTGACAACTCCAGGCGGCACGTTGCCTGCCGGCACCAGAATCTCACCGAGGTGCCGAATGCCATCCCTGAGGTCAGCAGGGCCGGAGAATGGGCACAGGTGGCAGTGGGGCAGGGCGGGGGCAGCAGTGGGTGGAGCCTGGCTGGACATCAATAGATCTGCCCCTGCCGGGCTAGGAGACCCTAGGAGGTTACTTCTCTCTGAGCCTCAGTCTTCACATCTGTAAAATGGGAATAATAATAACCAATAACAGGAAGATAATCTACTTAAAATCCTTACTGTGTGACTGGGATAAGTAGGTGATCTATAAATACAGTCATGTGTCAGCTAACGATGGGGTATGTTCTGAGAAATACATTGTAGGCAATTTTATCATTGTGGGAACATGGAGTTTACTTACACAAGCCTAGCTGGTCTAGCTGACTACACACTGTGGTATAGCCTATGCTCCTAGGCCACCAACCTGTACAGCATGTTGCTGTACTGAATACTATAGCAATTGTAACACAATGGTAAGCATCTGTGTATCTAAACATAGAAATGATGGGCTGGCCGTTTAGCTCAGTTGGTTAGAGAGTGGCGCTGATAAATAGAAATGGTACGGTAAAATACAATATAAAAGATAAAAAATGGAGGGCCGGCCCATGGCTCACTCGGGAGAGTGCGGTGCTGACGACAACAAGGCCCCGGGTTCGGATCCCATATAGGGATGGCCGGTTTGCTCACTGGCTGAGCGTGGTGCTGACAACACCAAGTCAAGGGTTAAGATCCCCTTACTGGTCATCTTAAAAAAAAAAAAAAAGATTAAAAAATGGCACATCTGTATAGGGCACTTAACATGAATGGAGCTGGCAGGACTGGAAGTTGCTCTGGGTGAGTCAGTGAGTGAGCGGTGAGTGAACGAGGGCTTGGGACATTACTGCACACACAATAGACTTTATAAACACTGTATGCTTAGGCTACACTAAATTTATAAAAAAATAAAGTAATTGCACTACGACATTACGATGGCTACGACTTCACTAGGTGATAGGAGTTTTTCAGCTCCATTATACTCTTACAGGACCACCATCGGAGGAGGGTACTTGAAAATGATCATAGATTGTACCACGAAGGTCAAGTGTTCAGATCCCCACTGGCCAGCCACCGAAAAAAGAAAAATAAAAGTTCATGGAAACATTCGTATTATCTTTTTTTTCTTTTTGGTGGTTGGCTAGTAACGGGATCCGAACCCTTGACCTCGGTGTTATCGACCCTGGGATCTAACCAACTGAGCCAACAGTCCAGCCCTGTCTATTTTTCCATGAACTTTTTGAAATACCCTCGTATATGGGGTCCATCGTGGATGCAGCATATGGCTGCATTGAATTCTTTACAGACCCTGCGGCAGAAATGTGGGGATGTGGTAGGATACCACATGGGCTCTGCCCTGTGAAGTCATGAGCTAGTGGGGTAAACAGGCAGTGATAGTACAGTGTGAAAGATGCCACAGTGGGGTTGCCTAGGTGGCTGGGAGGAAGGCTTCCTGGAGGAGGTGTCAGGGAGCAGGATGAAGAGAAATGGACAGGTGAGGGGACAGAAGAACGTCTTAGGTGAGGGAGCAGCACGTGCAGAGGCCACGGCCCTGTGCCCTCAGCCTCCCTTCCCCTACCTGCCCCTAGCTGACCCAGCGGCTGGACCTCCAGGGCAACATGCTGCAAGTGATCCCTGCAGCTGCCTTCCAGGACCTGCCTCATCTCACACATCTGGACCTGCGGCACTGCCAGGTGGAGCTGGTGGCCGAGGGCGCCTTCCGCGGCCTGGGCCGCCTGCTGCTCCTCAACCTGGCCTTCAACCGCCTGAGCGCGCTGCCCCAGGAGGCGCTCGACGGGCTGGGCTCGCTGCGGCGGCTGGAGCTGGAGGGGAACAGGCTGGAGGAGCTGCGGCCGGGGACGTTCGGGGCCCTGGGCGCTCTGGCCACGCTGAACCTGGCCCACAACGCCCTGGTCTACCTGCCCGCCATGGCCTTCCAGGGGCTGCTGCGCGCCCGCTGGCTGCAGCTGGCACACAACCCGCTCAGCGTGCTGGCCCCCGAGGCCCTGGCGGGCCTGCCCGCCCTGCGCCG